CTTCATTCTTTTTCATGAATTTGGTGGTAAAATTATGTATAAACATAGTTCTGTCTGCAAGACTCAAGGGTAAAGTTTGTCACTTTGATCTACTGTAACTATCAATTAAAAGAAAGGATAGGCCTTTTCCAAGAAGCCATCTGGCTGCTTTTATCAAGTTCTCCATTTTTCATGTTTGTCTTGCTGTAAGAAGTAGCTGCTGTGTTAGAATAGTGCAGCCAGATAAAAGGAATACTGGCTCAAGCTGTCCATTGTGGTTGAGAGCAAATGATCATGCTTAATAACGCTGAAAAGAACAACAAAAAACAGATATAATTCAGAGCATGGCAAAGACAGGAACAAATTCCTTACAATAGCCAGGTGGATGCTCCCTTGCAGCATACTTATGTGTGATTCCACCACCTCTCTTTTTTAAACAAAGAAAAATAGAAGGGATTGCACACGTTTGGTTAGTTAAAGATGAAAAGATTCTTATAGCAATTAGTTTCCACTAATTAAGTAGTAAGTGAGGGACAGAAATGGAGACAGATGTCATTCAGCGTACACGGTTGAGCAATACGATTTTGCTGTATCCCAGTGCACAAGGATGATAAACCCCCAGGCCTGCAGCAGGCAAAGAGGAGTTTGAGTCTATCAGTGGTTATTCTGAACTGAGTTCTAATGCCAGCACAGGCCCACAGGAAGTGTTTGAGTGTGTAGACCATGGGGGAGGTCCGTGTTGTTTATACTCTTACCAGAGGCTGTGTGCCAGCTCTGTGTTCTGCTCACAGTGGCTGTGCCATACCACTGAGGGGCAAGCCAGGTCCCGTGTGATCCCAGCTAGCAGGACAGTAATACCAGCCAGAATAGGAAAAAACCTATTGATAAGCAACACAAAAACAACGGCCTCTGCCTCTGAAGGCAGAATAGAAAAACCAGAATGTGGAGAGATTAATCTGTAACTTATACCAATTGCTTCCCTTCATGTTCGGCGTATTTGGCATAATTACCTTAGGAACAGTATAAAAGCATTATATTGTTAAAGCTGCCAGATGGAAGACAGAACTCTGCTGATAGAAAGCACATCAGACAATGATATTGAAGAGATTTCTGAGGAGTTTTAATTAATCTTTCCCTCCTTTTTCATATAGTTGACATTACTTTGGGCTCATTTGCTCTCTGGACCCAAGCACTTGACTCCTGGCTACAGAACTTGAAGTATAAAGGTCTCCCTAAAGAGCAAGGTGAGGCTCTCAGCTCCTATGAAAGCCACTGCAGGAGTACCTTAAAGAAAAGATGGTTTCTCCACTACACAAAACAGAACTTCGTATATCAGTGTTGACATAAGATGGTGCTAAATGGGTAATTTTTTTTCAAGCGTTTATCTTCTCTGGCTGAGACCCATTATTTTATTGTGCCGGTTGGAAACCACCACACTGCATGACACAACCATGTTTTTAATTAGTCTGAAAAGTTTTAATTGGGAAACAAAGGGAGATATCTTATAGATTATTATTGCAACCTTTAATTGCCTGACTCGAGAGACCGTTAATTATCTTGATGGGAGGATGACACACCTTTCTGTACTAAGGCACTCATATTCACAGCACCTTTTGCAGAATACGGTACCTGTTGACTTTCTTCCAGCCTTTCATTAAGGAACTGCTGTGATAGGAATTAACTACAGTAATTCCATTACAAAACCTGCTGTCCAGTGGAATTTTTCTGGAAGATTAGATTTCTGAAAGGGAAAAAGGCCATTTTAGCTAAGCATTTCCTCAAGGCCCAAAGTAAATAACCGACAAAGAAGGTCAGAATGAATTTAGAACTCTTAAAGGTCTGCTGTACACTTGTATGCAGCATACAAAAAGTAAACAGTGCAGCTTTCCAGTACAGTGATTTTTATTGTTTAAAATGTTTCACATTTCAGTTTAGAGAGAGATGAGAAATGCAGAGGACAGAATCTGATCAAAATGATTTTACTTGGAGGAAGAACAGCATTTTAAGCAGACATTTCAAGGTTGAAGTGGTGCTGTTAGCAGTTGCTTGGGATTAGCACCAGAAGAAAACACTTGTCACACTCCCTGGGGCAGAAAGGCAAAGAAATCCAGTGACCTGGGGTCCAGTCCACAGTGCTAAGGGGAGGTGCAGAGCATTTGCTCTGTGTGTGTATTCTGTCTGGGTTTGGTTAACTTAGCAGAGTGATTCTCTGGCAGCTGGGCGACTGGCAGCTGGGCTGGGAGCCATTGCTTGCATTTCATGGCTTCAGGATTTGGTCATTTGCAGTAGGTCTCTAATTGGGGCTGTATTGAGTAAAGACTTGTTGGAAGATTTCATACTGTCTAACTGAAAATTCAGGTGGGAATTACCTGAACCTGTGTTAGTACAGAGGCCATTGCTTTTTCCTGAGGTCAGCAGGATCTGCTCTGTTCCTGTGCCAGGACAGTATTCCCTGGCACCCTTCTGTACCATGAGCTAACTAGGCAATGGTCTTCTTTTAAAAAGACAGCCAGGTGATCTCTTTATTTGACCAAGAGTGGGCAAGCAGTGGCTCGAGCTTCGATCCCATGCCTGCCTCTCTGCCAAGCCTCAGCTAAGGCAGCTCTGTGAGAGATGCCCTACACTCCTGCTGCTGGGGCTGGAGTAGTGAGGAAGGAGAGAGTTATGCTTGAGTCATAGGACCTCATAGGTGGGTCACAGGGAGGCAGAGGTAACACGATTTAAATTGCTGTGAGCTTTTTTCATCAGAATGCACTAAGGGAGGTAAGGCAAAATCAAGCAAGCTAAACATACGTTGCATCCCAAAAAGTGTGCACGTATACATGCCTGATAAGAACTCGCCAAAGTGGATTCCACTTCATCTATGCTGTCTTACCAAACAATGGGAGGGAAAACAAAGTTTTGACATAACTCTTTCATCTGAGGAAATCTTTCCACAACTACAGAAGTCATTACACTGCATCTGCAGTAGCTACAGTCATTGGAAGCAAAGTGGCTATCAGCAGTGCTCGAATGTCGTCTATAGCAGAGCTTTTGCAAATTAAGAGTCTGAGGCTGCATACTGATTGAATGCTGCAAACTACTTCCCCCTTCACTGTCCTTTATTTCTTCTTCTCTCAAGTTGCTGTCAGTAGTAATCCCTCTTCTAATATACTGAGATGGGGAAAATCTCTCTTCAGAGTTTTTCTGGCTGTTTGTTTGCTTTTCAATTAATCTCAGCTAGGGCTGTGTTCAGTTGATGACATTGGTTTGCTATTCACATGTGCAAAATTGCAGACTTTTGACACTTTGTCCTATGTGCAAAACGTGCTGAGAGTATGTTTGCAGACCAAAGGAAATTTTTCTTCAGGAGTAGTGGACGTTTGGGCTGGACATCAGCTCCAGAATGATACATGTAGCTGTGTTATTGGACAATTTTAAAGGGCTGTTCACCTAAGGGCAAAAAATACCCTTTTGGGGACAACTTCAGCAGTTTAAAAAGTAATTACTAGCTGATTCCATCTAACAGGGATGGCGCATTTGATTCAGAGACCCACAGCACAAACTGAACAGAAGGCCACCTACCGCACTGCACGGACAGGGCTGCTTATCCATTGTGCGCGAGCAACGCTTGGTGTGTGAATTGAACTCAATAAGCTGAGCATGCAGCATGTTGTTTGGTGGGGGGGTTGATCTCTTCAGATGCAGTCCGCGTTCCCACCTGGGAGGTGAGTTGAATGAGAAAGCCAGTCTGAATGCCGCACGCTTCTGGGAGATTCTTACCTCTCTGGAAGCGGTGGCGGCTTCGTATCTTCTTGTCCAGAAATATACCAGTTTGTTTCATTGCACTGGAAATAGAGCTCTTGTCTCAGTGTTTAGGAAATCACAGTAGTTTTTCAAGAATTTCTTCTGAAACCAAATTAATGGGAGAAAATGGAACTTCATTTTTAATACATGTAATACTAAATTTTAGTATATTCTTCAACACTTGTATTTAATTTGTCTCATCTAAGTGTCAGCTTTATTAAGTAGCTTTTAAATCCTTAATTTGAAGTTGGTGTAAGTAAGAACTGAATCCAGATTTAGAGTGTCCTGGGCAAAGAGGAAGCTGTGATCATACGTGGACATCTCAAGCCAGATGGATATTGTGACAACAACTAAAAGCTTTGAATGTTCTGTATTTTACCATCTATTTCTTTCCTGAGTTTTGTGGTTGTTGTTTTGTTGGTTGGTTTGTTTGCTTGTTTTGGTTTTTGTTTGTTTTTAATATGTGAAAACCTTTTGCTTGAAGGAGATTCTCCTTGTACTTTTATACATCAAGAATTGAAATATTACCTTAATCTCTTCTCAATTTTTTTCCCCTTTGTAGGCAGTTTTGGTCGTTGCTACAGAAACATTATGGAAATAGAAATGACTATTTTAAATCACTGGTGAGAGAGGAGGAAGGATGATGAAGCAGACTCTTAGCTGTAGTAGCATGTAGTTCAGCATTGGAACTACGGTGCTTAAAAATATCCTCACCTCCCATTTCCTTCTCTCCCTTGCCCATAGATGGTTGCTTCTTACACCGAGGCCGACGAAGCAAGTGGAAACGTTCTCACAATATTATCTGGCCCACAAGATCAGAACTAGATTTTCAGGGCACCAAAACTAGCTAATGAAAAATGGTTTGGTTTTCTTCAGGTTTCAGAGTTTAAATGCATGTGAGCAACTCTTTTGTAAGCTCACGAGGATTCTGCTGTCTCTGACAGGCTTCCTTGTCCAGCTGACACTAAGAGCTTTGCTAGGTCCTCAGCACATGTGAACAACGGCTGCGAGATGATGGCAGGCACACGGCTGGACAAAGCTTCCAAACAAAGGCACGATTTCATTTGAGAAGATGGTGCCTGCAGTCACGGCACAGACACTTGTCATCAACAGAGAAAACAGGAAAACACTCTGTTTGGCTTTCTGTGCTTTTTTTTTCTTTTTTTCCTTTTCAGTACTGTTTTTGCCATTAGCAATGGTGCTGGTTACCTGATAATTCTCTTGGTGTTTTTCAGGAAAGCCCAAACTCACCGATAGTAAATGAAAGCCTTCTGAGAATAAAATCCTGAAGAAAACTGTACTAAACTAAATTACATGCTGGATGAGCTTTGGCACTGAATCTCCCAAAGTTTATGAAATTACTGCACGCAGCTTTGTAAGGAATCATGAAAAGTGAAGAAAGACCTGTAAGTAACAGACAAAATTAGTGCAATATAAAATAAAGGCTTCATCATTCTGAATTGTTTAATTCCTAGCTATGATACACCACTGCTAATAGCTGGAAGTGAACACCAGGTTCCGGGCACCTTCATTTCCAGGAGGGGCTCACACTTCTCAGCCAAACAGGATGGTGGAGTCTTTGTGATTCTGTCTAAGCTAGATATTAAAATAGGTTTTAAGTGAGCATTCTCAGAGGAAAGGCTCTAACAACACAAATGCTGAAGGGAAACAGCCTGTTTTATCTCTGTTTTTGATTAATAAAAGAAAGCCCAAAGGCAAGGAGAAATTGTTTGGGACACGTTGTTGCTTTGATGCGTTCTGTTGAGTGTCTGTGCACCTATTCACAGATTTAAATAATTTGGTTTAGATTATTAAGTGATTACTCTGTGCTCCGAATGATAGTTAAACTCACTTATTTCCCGTGTTGGCAGTGAAATATCCCTCCGTTGGATTTGTCACTTGCTTTTCTCATTCCAAAAAGATGGGTTACGCAGTTATCCTGACACGTTGGAATACTGACAAGCAATGTCAAATCTCATGATAGCATATAATGACTCTCATTTTCAAACAAGAAAGAGAAATGGGTGTTATTGCAAAATGTTGTTAGATTTTGTATTAAATCTTGCATAGTAACAGTATAATTATAATGTGTCATCTCTGGCTCAGTAATTTGACAATTCAGTTCTTTGGGAGGGGGGGCAGATGGCCTATAACATACCATATTTTTATAATTAGTTTATTCTCTGCAAACTCGGTATGTAATTATTCCCTCATTCATTACTGGTTTCTTTGAAATCTTCTTTTCAAGAACTAATAAATCCTCCAACACAAGTGAAGCTTAAATCTCTCTTTGTACTGTTCTCGATCACCTCTAAGGAATTTACATTTTTAATACTAAACACCCTGGTTATTTCACACTCCAGATTACTTATAAAGACGTCCTCAGCATCACCCTCTGTATAACACTTGGCTGCCTTCCTTTTTGCCCCTCTTTCTTTCAAAAAAATAATGAACTTATTTCGGAGAAGCATGCAATATTAAGATGAGATTTTAGTGCCAGGATGGCGAGATGCATACACCAGCAGAATATAAAATGCAAAGAGATGTAGGGATATGTCATATATGTGCTACATTCCAGTGTATGATGTGTGAGAGCTGCAGTTCACTGTGCCATTGCAGGAGGCATCTGTGTAAATAAGAGCGCTCATGTGAATTTTTTTGTTCACATTTGAATCCCTGCTGTAGTACTTAGTTGTGCTATAAATTGTCTTAAATAGTGACATAATCTTCTGACAATAAAGTTTCTTTCCAAATCCAGAGCCTCCTATGTAGTTGCAGGTGCTTCAGACTATCACAGCCATTCATTTGAGCGCAGCTTAAAGCTCTGCTGTGAGCTTTGCTCCCCAAGAACCTCCCTTTATTGTGGTGCTTATCTGAGTACTGCCTGGGGCCTGGTGCTGCTGCTCCAAAGTGGTTCCTGTACCGAAAGGACAGACTCGCCTTCAGCCTGCCCTTAAATAAATTGACTCTATGCTTAAAGAAAAAGCACAAACACAGTGCAGCAGAATTCTGGCTTTTTCAGTCTGCCATTCTTTCAGGTAAGGTTGTCTTCTGGTTGTTTTCAGAACAACACTGTAATTTTAGATGTAAACCATATCATGAGGCTGAGATTTTCAAAGCAGCTTAAAGGATTTAGAGACATTTTCCATTCAAATTCAGAATCTTTCTTTCAAAATCCCTTGAAGAAGTATGGCTGTGTTTTTGGTAGCTGTTGTTTAAGCATCACTTCACTTCAGTTGCTTAGAAATTCTTTGTGCTGTTGTTTAATGTTTCCCAAAGGTGGGGGTAGGAAAAGGAGTGGGGAAAAAGATTGCATTTGCTGTCTGTAGCATCTCACTGACCTAAAAAGGCTCTAAAACTCTCCCAGCCCTACGCAAAGCTGACTTCAGTTGTACTCTCTCATCAAAGCACAAGGGGAAATGAAAAAGTTCCCAAGATTTAAGGTGGCAACTTTGTCTCCTACTGACTAATTTAGTTACTGTCATTATCGTCTGTTTTTCTGCCTTTTTCTTAATCCTTTTCCTGTCTGAAACAGGGTACTAATTCATGCCACACTGTGCTACACGGTGCTCCTGGCTGCGTCGCACCTGTTGATGTTTATGTGCCAAGGTACATCATGCCAACTGCAATGGCAAGGAAGGTACAGCTGCAATGGAGCCTGCAAACAGGACAGCTGCATCTCAGGGAACACTGCTCTCCAGCACCAGGCCAGGAACCCGCTTCAACCGCTGGAGCAAAAGTAGAGGTGTGTATGAGCACTTTGCATCTAAAAGAGTTACCAGGGGAAAAACAAAAAGTGATGGTTCACGTTGTGCAAAATTAGGAAGACTCAAATGCTTCTTCCAGAGCACCTCCATCCAAAGTCCTCCAGCGATATGTGCTTCCCTTTTTTTTATATACAAGGAGTCCCTGCAGCAGCCTGCAGTCTTGGTTTATCTGGGCAGCCAGTGTTCTGCAGGAGTGGCAGAGTAAGCTCCTTACAGAGACAAGCTTTCAGATCTTGTAGGATCTCAAATAACTCTTCAGAAGCTGCTGTTCTCACTCATTGCTTCTGGTAAAGCAGATAAGAAAGGCATCCAGTGAAATGATCAGGTAGCATGTTTGAAACAAGGGAACCTGTTTTAAATAGACCTAAATGAGATGAGAGCCTAGATAATGAAGTCTTTGCTGCTTACCTTTTGCTGAATTGGAAGTCCCCTACATTAACAGGAGCTCAGGGAACAGCTTCCCTGCCTGTGACATCCCAGACATTCATCTGAGGTTTTTTGGAGCATCAGTACTGAACCTCTACAGCAAGCTCAGACAGTCAGCTCCAGCCAGGAGTTTTCTCCCATAGGTAATTTCAAGCACTCCTGCTGCAGTTTAAGATGGTGTACCTTTCTGTTTGGTGTCCTGATTAGTGAATATCTATCTATCTGGCTGTAACTGTATCCAGAAGCTCTAAGAAGAAGCTGTATTTTTATTATGAACCTGTTGTAAATGATGTGTCATGCAGTAGTTTTCCCCTTAGCAAGGTCCCTTTTCTCATTGAAGACACCTGTGGTTGCAAATCTAATAGAATCTAACAGAACTTGATCCGATAGCCACATTGCTCTCCAATATAGATTGGGTGTGTCAGTAGGTTCAGAAGATACTAGGAAGATACGGGATATAGGAAGATATAGGAACATGCTCAGGATAAAAAGCCAGAATAAAACTAGAACTTCTTTCTTTTCTCTTTTCATTTTCCTCAGTTTCAGAATTGTTCTACACATCAAATCCTTGCCTCCCCAGACAAGGTTTGGTGATGTCTCACATGCAGTAGTAGTCTAAGTGTTTGGAACAGCACACCATTATAGTTGCAGGGAAAAATGTACCAGCCTTGACCCTTCTTGAATTCTGTACTCAATTATTTATTGGTAAAATCCCCTTGGCAGTTAATTTTTTTCAGTGTGTGGCTTCAACAGTGTAGTGAAACTTATTGTCAGGTATTGGGAATACACTTTCTCTCTTTCTGAACTGCACATAGGAAAAGGGTTCTTTTATATTTTTTTTTTTCTTCCACGGTGCCAAAGCTTTCTAAAAAGCTGCCAAGCCCATATCCCATGTTTGTTTTAAAAACAACAGTCAAAAAACACAGTCAGCTCCCTAAGTTCTTTTCAAATTAATTGTATTACTGGAAAGTTAACATTTCAAGTCTCTTCCAGTATTTTCAGGAAGGAAAGGCTAGAAATCAAGGATTGTTCCCTGTGCATTTGAACAGTTGCTACTAACTGTGATCACCAACAAGACGGTGGATTCAGTGAAATTTATTTCAGCAAATATCTTACAAAATACCACTTATTAAGTGGAACTTGTATATTTCAATATTTAAAAAATGGAGCTTATAAGCTGGAGGGAAATAAACTTTTTATATGGGTAGGTAGTGATAGGACGGGGGAATGGTTTTAAACTAAAAGAGGGGAAAATTAGATTGGATGTTTAGGGGAATGTTTTCACTGAGAGAATGGTGAGGTGTTGACACAGGCTGCCCAGAGAAGCTGTGGATGCCAAATCCTCAGAGGTGTTCAAGGCCAGGTTGAATGCAGCCCTGTGCTACCTGGTCTGATTCGTGATTTAGTTATTGGCACCCCTGCCTGCAGCAGGGGGCTGGGGACTTGGTAATCCTTGAGGTCTCTTTCAAACCAAGCCATTCTGTGATTCTACAGTTCTATTATTCTGTCTGTTCACAGTTCTGTAAGTCAAGTTTTCTCTCCCTTTTTTGGTCCTTTGCCTAAAAGGACAAAGTGATCTGAAGTGAAGTGAGCTCTGCGAGCAGGTCTGACCTGCATGGAGCAAAGAGGCAAGATCACTTCCCTCAACTTGCTGGCCACATTTCTTTTCATTCAGTCTAGGATACAGTTGGCTTTCTGGGCTACAAGATCAAACTTCTGGCTCATGTCCAGCTTATTATCCCCCAGTACCCCCAAGTCCTGTTTGGCAGGGCTGTGATCTGTCCTTACATTCCCCAGCTTAGCACTCTACTAATAGCAGAGTTTACCATGATCCAGGTGGAAGACCTTGAACCTGGATTTATTGAACCTCATGCAGTTCACCTGGGCTCACTGAGCCTGATGCAGTATGAGCCTGCCTAGGTGTCTCTGAATAGCATCCCATCTCTCAGTCATGTGAACTGCACCACACAGCTTGGTGCCATCTGCACACCTGCTGAGAGTGCACTCGATCCCACTGTTGATATTACTGACAAAGATGTTAAAGGGAACCAGTTCCAGTACTGACTCAATGGCGAGGGACACCACTTGTCACCAATGTTCATCCAGATGTTGAGCCACTGACCACCACTCTCTGAGTACAATCTTGCAACTAGTTCCTCATTCACTGAACATTCTACCCATTAAATCCATATTTTTCCAGTTTGGAGAGAAGGATGTTATGGGGGCCTGTGTCAAAGGCCTTACTGAAGTCCACATAGATGACATCAGTGGTTCTTCCCTTGTCTACTTATACAGTTATGCCATCAAAAAAAGCAGCAAGGTTGGTCTGGCAGGACCTGACCTTGGTGAAGCCATGCTGGTTATCCCACATCAGCTCCCTCTCTCCCATATTCCCTAACATAGCTTCCAGGAGGATCTTCTCCATGGTATTCCCCCAGCTTCTCCAGTTCCCACCTTAGTAAGCAGAGGTAGGTGCCATTGGCCAATTATTTGCACTGTTCAGAGAAAACTGGGAAAGTCATCTTTGAATGCACACACATTTTGCTTCCTGTCACCAGAAAGGTTTCTTTCTTTAGTCTCTGAAAGCTTTGGTGAGCCAAGTCTTTTGCATGGGAAAATAGATTACAAACATGCCATCAGGTACACTTTGCACTGATAGACAGATGGAGACAGTAGTGTATCTGTCTGCTAGAGGGAATTGTCAGAGGGGCACAACTCATCACACTGGTTCTTAGAGGGCTTAATTTGCTGCCGGTAAATAATCTATTTTTTATTACCTCACATCCCCGGATTGTCAACATTCTCAGCTTTTTGCCACAGCTAATTAGACAGGCAAAAGCCTCATAGCCTGAAGAACGAGTCTGAGCTAAGCACCTGCCAAAATATCTGACTTTTTTTTAAGAACTGGAATGTCAAAGAGTGAAGGAGCTGCAGATCACATTTAAACGCTTTGAGCATCAATAAGATTATTAGACCCATGAGGCAAATGTTCAGGATTTCTCTTAGACTTACCACTGAGAGAAGGCAAGATAAAGCTCTGATAGATAAAAACTACTGTGCAACAGTACCAAAGCTAATTATTCTGCTGAACTCTTGGAGAAATCTTGTAGGGATGTGTTGACATCATGCTCTATGTGGCCTGCTTTCCTGAACAGAAGCGAATTTAATTGCATATTTGAATGGAGTCTCTTTGTGTAAGGTACAGCTTTCAGAAAGGAATTTGTCTCAACCGAAACAAATGATGACTTTGCTGTTAGCCAGGCATGGCAGATTTGGCTGGGGATGAGGAAGGAGTTGTTGCTCTGTTTTCATGGTGGTTTTTGTTTGTTTTCCCCATCCGTTATTTTTAAAAGTCCTGTTCTACGTTCATTGTTTGAGGAGTTTCTCAAAAGAGCTGAAGGCATAAGGTACTGAATGATACCCCTTCATCTGGCATGTCACGATGAAGATATGCATGAAAATGGTGGCAAAGGTGTCCTGCAGACCGAGCATATCCTCAAGGGACAGGCTACCAGTGTAAACACTCCTAGTTCTCTCTGCCTTGCTTTCCTTAAGATTCTTTAAGATCAGGGGAAGTTACAGTATGTCTGTGTATCTATAATAGTTATGAGTTATACAGTGCTCAGACATCTGGAGGAAGAGATGATGAGAGATTCTGGAGAGTAAAACTGGTGGCCAGCTTCTCCAGAGCTGTGTGGTAATTCAGCTTAGTGGGACTGTCACTGTTTAAATCAAGTGTTGTAATTAAGCTATCAAACTCCCTTTGATTTTCTGTGATATGAGCCCTAGCACCTATTTGTGCCTTTGGAAGTCATCCCAGAAATTGCTGACTTGTGATTTCTCATCAGGGATCCTGCTCTTTCAGTTGAAGTGAATAACCTGTTTTCTCCTCACATTAACTTTAATGCTATAACTTTGGTGGGTTTCATGTTTCTGAGATTGCAGAGGTGGAGACGGAATAGAGCCCAAGGAAGGGAGTCACTATACATCATCTGCCCACACTGAAGTACAAGCGTTCACCAGCTAATGTCATATATTGCTCAGTTACTTCAGTGTTGCTGGAAAAAAAAATCTAGGATTGAAAATAGCAAGGCTAAAAAATTGTCAGTGTGGTTTCTTTTCCTGACTGCATACAAGGTGATAAATATCTCTTAATTCTATTTATAGCCATAGTCTTGTTTTATATTGATTTACTATTATTAAAAAAATAATAATAATAATTCAAGTAATTTAGGGATATGAGAGAATCCATACCACTCTTTCAATTGTTTTCTTAGCAGTGAAATTTAAGGTAACTCTTTGTTACTGTCTTCAACACAGAAAATATTCTCTCTGCTATGTAACTTCGATAATATTTATCTACAGAGATTTCATATGTTCTGAAGTTAGCAGCTGTTTCAGAAATTGATTAAACCTCCTCTCTTGTTCCAGAATTAGAGTTCATATAACAGAGTGATCAGCTGGGTCAGTTTTCTGGTCTAGCTTCAAACCAGCCTTGCCATATTAAATAAATTTCTCTGAGCAAGCTGAGCTGCATGTCATTGG